GGTAGCGGGGGGAAACAGTTAGCCGTGTAATTCTCTGTCGTAGGATTAGAACTTTTTATTATTATTAGTCGCAGTTTATTGTGAGACCTTTTTAAAGGCTTATAAACTGCAACGTATATGTGTGCGTCTAGATTTAAATGTGTTTAATTGTTGGTGAAATGAGTCGTTAGGATCATCTCTCATAAAAACAACTTTAACATTTCTACATGACATTATACTCAGTATTTAAATATAAAACCAGTAACTGTCAATCACTACGAAGGATGTCTCTCTCAGGATCAGTTTATATATTCTACATTCTACAAACTCTTCTGTTTACTGTGGACAGATGTTTTATGAGCTGATTCAAACTGACCTCAGACAGACAGTTATGTCTTTAATTCATTAAACTGTTGTTTTTATGTTGATTAAAAGTTATAACTGGTGAAATGAAGTGTTCAGGTTGTGTTGAAGATGTTTCCTGAGCAGCTGGTTGTGTTTCAGACTGCGGATGGCGAGGATGAACGAGGAGATGAGGGACTCAGAAGGAGTGTTTGGAGCTGTGGGTCAGTACGTTTTCCCTCCTCATCTTCCTCCCTCGTATAAAAGCAGCTGATTAAAAACCTGCTTTAACTCCTCAGGAGACGACGAGACCTTTCAGGACATCTTCCGGGACTTCAGCGACATGGCGTCACACGACCCGGAGAGACTGAGCCGGCGGCAGTTTGGCCGTGGAGGAGACGACGAAGAGGAGGAGGAGGAGGGAGGAGGAAGAATGACCAACAGCCGACATGAAGTTGAAAAGACGTCAGAGTGAAACCCGTCGGAGTGGGTTACCACGGTAACAGTGGACGGTGGACTGACAGACGATGTTTGTTTATAATAACAGTGTACACATTATTATTGACATTATTATGTTCATATACAGTTACTGTGTTCAACTGGAGCTAATGTTTACTTTTATTATCAGTTATTATTTTATCTTTTATTTTGGTCTTTAAAATGTTGGAAAATATTGTTATTTGGAAACCCTGCCTAAGCTCCGCCCACTTTCTCTATGTGCTCCAATCACAGTTGAGTTGCCTGAGGAAAAGGGGCGGGGCTTATGGAGGTACAACTAGGAAACTCACCAATCAGTGAGCTTCAGAGATGTTGGTAGGATATTCAGGCGAGCTACTTCCCTCTACTTCCAGTCTTAATGCTAAGCTAAGGCTAACTACGTCCTCCTGAAGAAGCGAATGAGGGTTTTCTTAAAATGTTGAAATGTTCCTTTGGTCAAATAGTCATTTCAGCATCAGCTAACAGTAAACACTGCGTCCAGCTCACCTTGTTAGAAATGAAAACGGTTACTGTGAGAGCAAAGTTACCTAGTTCAGACTGTTAGCATCCATCATGTTCATTTAATATTTGATTAAAACTATAATTAACTCAGGTCAGTAACTGTAACGATGTCACACTCAGGTCTGAGGTCACTTCCTGTCTGTATTTAGTCAGCACGCAGTCCGACTGCCGTTAACTACACGTATGAAAATAGTTAATTAGTATACTCAGAAACTAACTGCGGAAAACAGGAAGTACAGAGTGAAATCTTAAAGTTATATAACCGTCGATATTCTCATGAAACAAACATTTCAGAAATAACCTTTCAGTGTATTTATATTAAGTAATTTTCTCTATGTAGTCGCAATAGGAGGGTTAATGTGTATAAAACTGGACCTAAATCACCAGTTTTCTTTAAGATATGATATTAACAACAATACCATATTTGCTGATATCATAAAGTCTGCGATCGATGACAATATCGGCATTAAACTTTGTGGAAACTTTCTCTCATATTACCAAAATAGTTCTCTGAAATGTGTCTTCATGTAAGTGAGGAGCCGCCGACCTGACGCAACGGCGCTACCAGAATGCATTGCACAGCTGCGGACGTAGACAATGACCGGAGAGCGCGGGACTGACGGATCCTGTGGACATGAACTTTAATATCAACTCACAAAAAGCAACAAAATATTAAAGCTGCGACTGCGATGAATCAGTGTAAACAAACAGATCACACCGTGTGAATTTCACATAAAATCAGAGGACGATTTATGACGCAAAGCTTACTTCCTGTTACCAGGAGGTGGCACATATTAAAGTACTGCCTATTACATCCTCAGTCAGTACTGCACACTGCGTATTAAAGGATTAAAATACAGACTCAAACATTCGTATTCTCTGCGTCACACGACTGCATCGATCACAGCGCTGTGCAGACTGATCACATTGTTACGATTCGAGCTGTTAATCAACGTTTCCTCTCACACTCAGCGGATTATTGTCAGGCAAAATAAAGTAAAAAAGGAGGCGAGAGGAGCACTAAAGACTAATGTTTGTGAAAGAAGAATAAAGAATGAAGGTAAATATTAATGTAACAGATGGAGCGGGCAGTATTCGCGGCTACCTTCAGATATTTTACTGAGGAGGCGACTGCGAGTGAATAAATACAGTCGATAGAAAGGTCGCTGCGTTGGCTGCAGGGGTCGGTGTCACTGTGGGGGGGTCAGAGGGGCCTGTGAGGTCTCCTGGCTGCTTCTTCTGGAGCTTCTCAACTGTGGAAAGGTTTGAGCACTTTCTCGATTCGCCATCACTTAAAATAACGCATGAAAACGATCTGAAACCGTCGGGCTCGCAGTCTGCCATTGACCAGTCAGAAGAGACGCAATGCATTATGGGGCGGTTGAGTATATACTCAGATATTCTCGCTAATCTAGTTTACATCCGAGCTTCTCACAGTTGAAACACTACAGACTCAACTTGACGTCATACTGAGTGTGAAGAACGTTAGTGAGAGATCATGAACGCAGCCAGTGACTGAACGTCGACCTGTAGACGTGTTCTCACAAAATGTTTTAAGTTTTAGAATTTTTGGTGCAGATTGGATATTTAAGACTGAAATTACAAGTTTCCTTTTACTGGCGAGAGATTGATATTCGACGCCACGGACACGACCACGCACCGAGTTCTCTAGGAGGAGTTTGTTAAAGTACATCATCGCCAAAAATGACCACTAAATCCAAAACGGCCGACTTCCTGTTGGTTTTGGGCTCCGAGAGGGTTTTTTGTTTTCTTGCTGAATTCTTCCAGACTTTTATTTTATCTCGTTATCAGCGACAGAAAATAAAGCCGAATATAAATCGATGTTTTATGATTGTTGTTACTACTGGGAACGTTTGTGCGTGAAACAGGAAGTCGTGTTTCTCTGTTTCCTGTTTGTGTTCAGAAGGGATTTAATGTGCAGCTGCTGTTTGACTGAAGTCACTTTTATTTCTTTATCGATGTTTTTTTACGGCTGTGGGAACGTTTGAGATCAGTCCAACTGTTTTAATATTATTTTATGAATAAAGACTGAAGTGGACTAACAGACTGTAAAGATAAAACATTTTCAGGGTTTTATTGATGATGTTGATTCTTTGACCTGCTGAAAACGTCATTTCACCACGAGTCCTGGTTGTCCTGATATCAGACTGTTACTGATGAGACGCTCAATAAAACTCTTAATATATCAGTGACTGTTTACTTACTACACTACATTTATCAGTCAGAAAATCAGCAGTAAGTTTACATTAAAGTTTTTTTAATCGATTATCTAAATTTTACATGTTATAAAACAGATACACACAGAATAAAACAAATATACTTAATTAAAATCATAACTTATATTTTCTTTTGAGATAGATAGATAGATAGATAGATAGATAGATAGATAGATAGATAGATATCTATCTATACATTTTTTTTTTTTTTTAATGTGACTGCCACCTTGAGGACGTTGGGGAGACGTCTTGTAATGTGACTTGAGTTTGTAGCTCAAGTCGTAGCTGTAGTCGTAGTCGTAGCTGTAGTTATTTATTTTCACGTCAAAATATTACATTTTTATCCATTAGTACGGCGCCCCGGAGTGGCCAAAAAGAGAAAAACACAAAAATCGTAGGTTTTATGTTTATGTGCACGAAATATAATTTAATTGCTACATTTGGATTAATTGGAGCTGTATGACGGCGGTCTGAACGCACTGATCTGGTTCACACAAATTAACAAACAACGTGGGAACAGATTATAACGGACTAGAACCAGTATATATTATTTGTGTGGCCACTCCGGGGCTCCGTACTTCAGAAAAAAGCTGCTCAGAAATTCTGTTTCAGTTAAAAATTCAAGTAGGAAGAGAAAACGTGACTCACCACAAGTTCTTTTTTTTTGTGCAAGTTTGATTTTTTGGGAAATATTTGGACGAGTATTTTATATATTTGTGGTTTTATGATTTGAGTTCATTGATGATACAGTGATTGTAAGAGATTCCTCAGTTTAATTCTCTTTATGGTTAAAATAAATTTAAACTTTATTTTCATAGTGAACTTTTTTTTTTAAATATATTAAATGTTTTAAATATAAAAAAATATAATAATCCTCTTGTATATTTATGAAAATAAAATAAAAGAATTTAAAGCTGTTCACCTCTATAAACATTTATTAATAAACATAAGTTTATGTACAAACAGTGATAAAACATATAAAACATTTTGTTGCCATAAAAACAAACATAAGGTGCGTTTAAAGCTAATACTGATGTTTATAAAGTCAGCTCAGAGTCACTGAAGCTGCTGTTAAAGAGAGTTTTGTCCCCCCTCAGCCTCCGTACCCACAGCAGAGTCACTGGCCCTGGTTCAGATTCGGTTCAGTTTGTTCTGGGTCATCTGAACCAGCTGCTCAGAGTATCTCTCCAGCAGAGACATCGTCCTGACGTCCTGCAGTGGACCAGAGGGGGCGCTGCTGCCCCGCCCGCCTCCGGCCTGCAGCACCGCCTGCAGCTCAGAGGCAACGGCATCAAACGCCTCCCGCAGGACCAACGACGTCTGCAGGCGCTGCTCTGAACTGTCGACTGAAACGCTGAGCTGCAGGACGGAGACAAAACAATAAGTCGTATTAAACTCTAAAAAACGAAATATTTTTACAAATATTACAAATGTGTTTATAAAAGTAAACTCATAACAGTCACTGTAAAACAAACAGTCAGTCAGAGAGAAGTTCACCTGTTGGTAGAGGTGTACGGCTCGTCTCGCCGTCTGTCTCAGCTCGTTGGCGACCTGCTGACTCTGCAGCAGACTGACCGACTCTTCATCACCTGAACATGAAACAACAAAACCTCTTAGAGCCTGAACACAGGTAGAGTTTGTACTGAAGGGGGCGCTACAGGAAGTTTAACAGTTCAGGGTTCATCCTCTGTGGAGCCAGAATCAGAAACCTTCAGGATGATCTGATCATAGATGTAGAGATATCGGGGTTACCTGTCTGAGGGAGGCGCAGTGTTTCTGACAGAGGAGAGGAAGAGGAGGTGGGCAGGTCAGAGGAGGACGGGTCTGATGCTGCGGACAAAAAGAACAAAGAGACATTGATCGATCAGAAACTCATGTTATGACAAAAATATATAGATAGAAATTATTTTTTCATATAAATAGAATAAAAAGTTACATATCCTAATATTTAGTGGATTACATAATATTCCCAGGAAGTCATAGGGTTAGGGTACAAAGTACAAAGCAAGTAAAAAAATTAAAATTTTGAGAAAATTGTTAATATTTAAAGATAATCCTAATATTTAGTCTAAAATGTTCTATCAGAAAAAAGTTTGAATATTTGTAATACGTCATTGTGTGACATGTTATGTCAAACTTTTATATTATTATTATTATTATTATTATAATAAATATTCAAGAAAAAAAGTTTAATAACATATATAAATTAAGTAAAAAGAACATTTTTGTAATAATTCAAGATAGCTACGCAAGAAAGTTGTAAGAAAAAAAGCAATATTTTGAGTAACAATTTGTCAAAATATATAAAAAAGAAAAAAATAAAGAAAAAATGTGCAACATTTCCAGGAAAAATTGTAATATGAGAAAATTCTACATAAAAGTTGTAAAGCATCAGGAAAACATCACAATGAAGAAAAAAGCTACAATCTGCATCAAGAGTCGTGATATTACAAGAAAATGGCAGATTTTAAGATCAAAGTTAAAAAAAAAAAGGTGACAAAAGTTCTGATACTAGAAATGTTGTCCCTGTCCATCTTACCCGGATCAGTCTGGATTCTGGTCTCAGATCCTCCTGAAGACTCCTCGCACCTCGAGGCGAGGCAGCTGATGGTGTCACAGATGGGGGGCGTGCATGTGGGGGTGATGGAGAGGGCGGGGCTTTGGACGAGGGTTTGATTCGTCTCCTCGACGCTGCTGACGCTCCACCTCCCGCCTTCACCCAGCGACATCACCTCAGTGGGCGTGGCCGACACCTGCGGGCTCGCCACAGGTAGGTGGTGCAAAGACTTCTGGGACAACGGAGAAATGCTGAAGGAAGCAAAGAAAGAGAGAGAGCGTGAAGCATTAAGAGAATACAAGGAGTTGAACATTTAAATATTACAACTTTATTTCTTAAAATATACTAACTTTTTGATTAAGTAATTTTTTCTAAATATTACAACTTTTTACTTTAATTAAAATATTTATGTTTATCTTTCCCCACTTTTTCCTAAAAGTATTACATTTTTCCTAATTATTAAGTCTTTCCCCTCCAACGAATTATTTAACTGTTTTTATTACTAAATATGACTTTTCTTCCCAACAAAAATCATTGATTTCATTTTCCCCAAAAAATATTTTTCCTACTTAAATTGAATAATTTAATTTTACGACATATAATAGAAACATATAAAAGGATAAAGTGGACCGGGTGTTACCGGCTGGTTTGGTCCTGATGGGGGTCAGTTTTGGTGCTGTGGAGTTCCAGACCAGCAGGAAGCTGAAGCTCTGAGGAGGAGGAGAGGTTCTCCTTCTCCTCCTCATCCTGGGTGGAGGTGGGTGACTCCTGGCTCAGTTTGGCCCTCGAGCTCGCTGTGGTTCCCAGGTATCCGAGACGAGGCGCCCCCTGCTGGACTGTCGACACCAAGCTGCTGTTGTGGGCCTCCAGAGTCTTGGAGGTGACGTCTGATTAAAAAAAGCACAGAGTCAGGAACTAAAACTGATGACGGTTAAATATCTCAGGTGGAGGTGAACAGGTGAGTGAACTTTAACCAGAACAAGTGATTGAAGGAGGTGAAGATGTTCTTTCAGTTTAGCTTAGCATACAGACTGGAAATGGGGGCTCTACCCAAAGCAAACTCTCTGAATCTCACCAATTAACATCTCGTTTGTTAAATCTGTAAGAAACCTGCAGTGTAAAAAGGAAATGTGGTTTTATGGAGATTATCTACAAGCTATGATTTGACTGGGACCAGTAACATCCAGGACTCTCTGCTGGTTTACTGCCCAGAGAGGTTTTAATCTTACGTAAATAAAAGCAAGATGTCATTTTTTCCTTTAAAGCTATAATTTGTAAAATTTTTCATTAACATATGTAATTGTTTCACTGGTCGCCTGTCAGTGGCGTCATATCCCCTTTGTGCCTGCGTCAGCGTTGTGGTTGTCTGCCAGAAGCTGTCACACA